CTTTTTGTACATGCTGATCGTAGGTTATTTCCCTCTGTTGCGATGGACGCGCGCTTTATAACGTCTAACGGGCATGATGATCATTTTGCCAGTGACGAAGGTAAGGATTACACAGAAAGCCAGTCTTTTTTAGGCGCGCACCCCGAAATGCCATTGACGCGTGATGGTGCTTCGGGGTTGCTTGGTTCTCTCCTTCAATCACAAGAGGCGGCCAGGGGCAATGCTCCTGCGACTCTCTTGAAGACCCGGATGCGGAGCAGATCGGCGTCTCCCATGACTGGAATGAGGCTTTTCGATCTGACACCAGCTCAATCGCAAAGTCGGCCTGGGTCACCCACAACGGCTACTCGGAGTGAAGAAGCGCTAAGGCTACATGTAGATCCAAGCTCGGCTTCCCACATTATGTCTTCACCGACTGCGGTGCCTATTCATTTCCGACGACCGAAACCGTCTCCAGGTGCTCGAAAAACGTCGTCTGTTTCTAGTCCAGGAACGCCAGAGGACACTGTGGGATCTCCCACGTCGAAGCTTGGAAGTGGTAGTAAACGACCCAGGTCAACGGAATTTAAGACCTCAAGGGAATTCAGACCATTGTGGTTAGTGGAGCGTCACTCACCGGCGAAACTGGATAAACAGCCGGAAGAGCCATATCCATCACTTCCCTCTAGTAAAACAGCATCGCGGACTTCCTCTGTCGAGGATTTGACCAGCTATGACCTTACGGAGGGTTTCACTGGAGAGGTTTCTCAAACTTATCAGGTTCATCCTCAACAGCCGTTCGCCCAGCCACCAAAGCAAACAAGAGGTCTTTCATTACAACTTGACACCAACGACACTTCCCTCTCTGATCCTGATTTCTTAGGGTCGCAGCAGGCAACCCCCACAGCGGAAAGTTTCCAAGAAGCAGCCCAAATGGCGAAGAAGAAGAAACCGAAGCCGGAGTTCCATTCCCCTTCTGATTTGCTTTTTGATCCCTCTTCTCGCCAAATTAAATTGCCGGAATCTGCGGCGCTGGACTCTCTACAATCATCGGAAGGTTTTGTGAGAGACGAAAGGACCCTGGTACCTACGGAGTCTGATGTGGATTTGGAGTTACCGCCTCTGCCGCGCTCGTTGACCGCTTCGCCTGATCTGAGGGGGTCACTACCCTCGCTACCCGAGAGCCGTCCTTCCACAGCTGACTCTGAAATTGAGCCTCAGTTTTTCACACCAAACGCAGAGCTAGATGCGTTGCCTCCATTACCTGGCAGTCGTCCGTCGACATCTCATACTACTGACGCTGAAGCTCAATTTATGGGTCATTATATCACTGGAGCAGGTGCGAGTTTTGCGGCTGGTGTGGCTGCACAGCTCGCAAAATTAGAAGTAAAACCTGAAACTGCGTTCTTAGATGCTACCAATGTTGGTCAAGAGATTACGCCTAGCACCGAAACAGTCACAGACACTGAACCCGCAAGGGAGACCGTGTCAATTGTTGAAGCCATCCCAAAATTACTTGAAGAACCAGCTCTGGAACAGACGGTGGAGACAAAACGAACTCCACGGCCACAGGAAGGAATTCAGCCAGCACTACCCGTTGTTGATTCAGCTTCGTCAGCTCTAGATGAGGTACCAACCAAGACAATTCCCCACCTTTTAGAGCCTAGTCCATCGATCGAACACACTCCACCGGAACTCCCGAAGGTTGAAATGGGTGATTTCCAGCCAGCTTCAAAGAAATCGAAGAAGGCCAAGAAAAACAAAAAGAAGGGCAAGAACGCAACTGCCCCCGACGGCCCGCCTCCCCCCTCTAGCAGCGAGCATGATTCTGTTTCCCAGACAATCAGAAGTGACAGTGCCGATGTTCCATTGGCTCCACCAAGAGAAATATCGGAAGATAAGCAGGAAATGGCGCCTGTTGAACTGCCAACGCCAGACTCTCATTTTCTAGAATCAATAGAGCCAAAGTCGCAAATTACTAGAGAACTTCCCATTCAGGAAGAATCTTTATCTCATTATTTCCCGGTGGCTGCAGACACCAAGGTGGAATTAGCTACTCAGACTAATAAAAACAAGAAGGGCAAGGGTAAACAAATGCAGAAAGCTGGAAAAATTTCTCCCCAGGCGTATGTCCCACCAGTCAAGGATGAGCCCGCCCTCGAACCTCACACTCCAAGCCAAGGAAAAGAGCCAGAGGTTTTCGCATCTCCTTCGGAGCAAGTAGTTGGTGATATTACTGAACCAACCAAGGAAATGAGCCTTGTTGACATCCCTCTACCTGAAGACGATAATTCCAAACTTTGGGAGCCTACCGCTGTTGAGGGTGTTCTTGATCTCGGTTTAACCGGCGAGACAGAAAATGTAGAGCCGGTTATCAATCTGCCGAATATAAAGGCTGACGAGCAAATTCCGCAGAAGATCGATGAATTCGATCCTGCGATGATAGCGCTACCGGATGCCGGGGATGCAGAGCTTGAGGAGCCCATTCATGAATATTACCTTGATTCGAGCCCTCTTTTTCCCGAGCAAACTAATAATCTTTTCCCACAAAACTGTTGACGAGTACGTTCTACAATCGTCCATGGATCTTGATCCTACGAGTATAGCGTTACCGGATGTCGAGGATGCAGACCTTGAGCAACCAAACGCAGAGGGATATGTCACTGATTCGAGCTTTCCTTGTCAAGCGGAGACAACGAGCAAATTTCACCTCTGTTATAGATAAGGAGATGCAAGAATCCCAGCCCTACAATCAGCCGGAGAGAATAAGGTTGGGGACTACGGAGCTTCCGAAGGAAGAGTTGGTAGAGCCTACTGATCAACTATTTGCTCCTTCAACTGATAAGCGGCCTTCTACACCGGTGGTCTTTGATGCCAAAGGAGATAGTTCACCAGTATCTCAAGAATTGGCGACTGCCTTGCCTGAGTTACTACCAGCGGAACATGTACCTCCTCCTGAACTCCCTGTTGAAAACACCGAGGAATACGCATCACATAAGGGAAAGGGGAAGAGAGGAAGCAAGGGTCGGAAGTCGATTACCACAGATGAGTCTACTGAAATCAAGACAAGTAAAATTCGCCAGAGCCTCGAATTAGTCGCGTGCAAAGAATCTCCTTTTGAATCTCAAGCTTCGGCCCCCGATCCTTTGGTTCAAGATAAATATGAGCACCGATCTGAAGCGCAGATGCAAAACAATGTTAACACAACGCTGTTGGACAAGGAAACCAAGGAATCTGCATGTGACACTCTGGCCAATGAGGTTTCACCACATCTGATAGGTGGAGTCGATGCACAAATCGACACGTCTATAAAGGTCTCGAAAAAACAAAAAAGAAAGGATAAGAAGAAGCGGAAAGCTTCCCTGGAAACTGAGGAGCAGCCACTACAATCAGGGTCCTTAATAGACATGGTTGGCGAGGGAAGTACTGAGGCTCAACGAGAATCTGAGCAATTGACCATGGAGCCAGACGATATGCAGCAAATCACACCATCAAGGTTATCCAATGTCTCTAGCAAGGGCAAACAACTGATAGAGGAAGATCAACAGCAAGAAGACTTGGAAAAGCAAGGCCAAGGTGATTCAGCATTGTCATTGGTTGAGGCGGAGCCAACAACTCACGATCCTCCATTGGTAATTAGTGAAGACCATGCCATGGATAAGGAAATTTCGGACGACATCTCTAGACCTCCCACATCTATAGACAAGATTCCTCCGGATGAACTTAGGAACAAGGAACCGCATCAAAATGATAAGCCTGCGCCTGATGTTCAGAAATCTAAGAAGGCGAAGAAGGGCAAAAAGAAGCGGCAATCGGTCACTTGGGAGGACGACATTTTCCATGCCGAAGGTCCACAGACGGCACCCGATTCTCCCACAATGAAGGACGATGAACTCCGCGCTGAAATGGAGACATCCACATTTACCCCAGCTGATAATTTGGATACTGAGGCATCGAATACTTCTAAAAATAAACGGAAAGCAAAAAAAGACAAGATAAAGCGGAAATCTTCAGATTTGACAACATCACAGCTTTTAAACCCGTCCGATGAGCAACCCCGTTTGCTAGTTGAGTCTATTTCTGCAAGCTCTGCGGAGCAATTAGAGCTTTCCACGAATTTGGATCCCGATACATCCACAGGACCAGCTTCACTTGCTCCTGCCAACGAAGCAGACGAATCACTTATGGTAGAGTCTCCTCAAAGCCAGCCTCTCACTTTCGAGAAGGGTTTGGAAACACTCTCCATCCCCGGGTCATGGGAGGACGATGCCGATAAAGTTATCGAGGCTCCACAGAAAGACAATGAAATAGCTCCTCACGAAGCACCACCTCCCAACGATGACGGTAATGAATCTCAGATTTCCAAAAATAAGAAGAAGAATCAAAAAAAGAAGAAAAGGTCAAGACATTCTGATTGGACTGATGAAAATACGTCTCCGCAGATAGAAACAAGAGAGAATTCTGAAGCGACACTACCCGAGTCATTGCTAGCAATATGCCAGCCGCCGACCATCCCAACTAAGCCACATGAAAAATCTATAATACGGGCCCTAGGGCCTCTCCACAATTTTGTAGAGTCCCCTGTCGAATCTGAACTACGAAACACCCAGGATCCCTTCAAGCCTTCCCAACAGGAACAGTTTTCTTGTCCCAGTGAAGCACCTGCGAGTCCTGAAAGTCCCGAAACAATTGCGCAGGAGCCCCTACTGCAAGCTGCGGAAATCTATATGCCTACGGAACCGTCTAGACATTTCGACACCGATACTGATGCCGAGAAATTGTCGTGCAGGGTGGAAGCATCCCAGGCTGATACCTCTCTGCCGTATATGGATAATCTTGGCCCTGCCTCAATTGCCGAAGAAATCCAGAGGCCACCAACCAATCCTCGTCAATTGACCGCCACAGAAATTGTCTATGCCAGTAAAAGAGACGCTGGAACGGCTGAAAGAGCAAAAGAAGCTGAAGAGACACTTCCTTCTGAAGCAGTTGTCTCTGAGACAGTGACAAAAACGGAAGGACAAATTCCTCCGCCCCCAGCAGAAGCTGTATCGCCTCCATACTTGGGTCCGGATCTGTTAATTGCTTCTAATGAGCCAGTGGATCAAATAAGTAACCTTGCAGATACAGCCATGGATTCCGTTTTTGAACAAGAGCAGATTTCGACTTCGTCGAAAGACAAAACCGGCGACACCAAACCAGAATTCAGGGAGTCAACTGGAGCTGAATATAGGAAGGACGGCCAGGAAGAACCATTGTTAAAGGTTGAAGAATCATCCCAATCTGTCAAGATAGAGGGCCGGGATGTCGTAGATGTACACTCTGTGAATGTCCTTGTTTCTGGTGAAATTGCTCCAAGCCTATTGGAACTTGTTGACTGCGACGTGGATGTTGAACAATCAGCACAACCTGAACCTGAACCTGAACCTGAACCTGAACCTGAACTTCAACCCAACTTTCAATCCGAACCCGACAGCTGGAATGTCAGGTCAACCAAAAAGGGGAAGCAAAAGAAGAACAAGAAACAAAGAGAACCTCGAGATGAGAAGGCTCCCACCCCAGATGAAGAGAGTACTCTATCAACTCCAGTGTTGTCCATCTTGGAGCCGACCCGGGAGCCGATGCCCAAAATTGTCAACGAAGAGACTGCTAATCGGGACTTCCCTATCACGAAAAAAGGAAAGAAGAAAAATAAAAAGTCTCGCGGTCTTGAAGAAAGTATTCCCCGCACTAGCTATCCAGAGCCAGTTGCAACTGAAAACGTTCTTGGAAGTTCGACGATCATTGAACCCCTAGATGAAAAGGAGGAAGGCCAGAGCTCTTTGGGTGTCACATCCACTGAGACGGAAAAAAAGAAAAGCTAAGTTTAAAGCTCCAAGTATCGATGAATGGATTAGTAATCTTCATGAGTTGCGATCGAGTAGCTTAGCACCTACTACGGATGATGCGAATGTCTCTGAAATAAAGGAAAAGGAACTAGAGCAACCGCAGGCGGATAGTTGGCATACCTGGGATATTGAACGAACCCAAAAAGGTAAAAATCAGAATAAGGATCTCACTTTTGAGGAAGGTACTGCCAATCCTGTTGAGCCGTATGTGGATGATTCAGCTGAAGCTGTGGATGAATTGAACACCCCCAAATTACAGGAAATGAAAGTCGAGACGCAGGGGGATAGCTGGAATCGTCGGGAAGTCGCTCGTACTAAGAGAGACAAAAAGAAGAGTAAAAACTCACAGGTTGTCCAAAATAACCCTCCCGATGAGCCAGCACCACTATATGTTGGAGAGCCTCCGGCTCACATCGACCTCGAGCCTCAGACCGAGCATGATGAAAAGGACATGGGTGCCGCATCAACAAAAAAAGGCAAGAAGAACAAAAAGGGTCGAGATGTTCAACAAAAGGCTCATTTAACCGTTGAACCCGAATCATGGGAACATATGGAGCTTGGAATGTCTGAAGAACCAAGTCGCAGCCCTTTGGAGAAGGGACAGAAGGTCAAAGAAAGAGGGAAGGAAGCTGCTGCTAGGCATCTACAAGGCGTCGAAGAAGAGAAAGCTGCAAAAGCCGTCCAAACTCAAGATAAGGCTTCTGCCACTATCGAAGTAGACAGCACTTTAGACGAAACCAATCTTCCTGGAATGGAATCCCTGATAGACGATCAAGCAAAGGAGACTGCAATAACGGAGGCGGAAGCACCTGACAATGATCGAAAGGCAATTTCTGAGGCCGATGAAACCGCCAAATGTCCAAAGATTGAACAAAGAGATATTTCTGACAAAACTAAACTAGACCAATTCCCTATTAAAGTTGCCGACCTTGCTGGTGAGAAGGAAAAAAGTGATGTTTGGGAGGAACCACCAATGAAAAAGAAATCTAAAAAGGAAAAGAAGAATAAGAAGAGAACAAAAAGTGAAGTAAACGTTGGATCAGCAACAGGAAATGAAGTTGACAATGGGGAGAAGGAAGGGCAGAAGCTCGTTGGTGAAGGAAATGTTCCGTTGGAAAGGTCTCTGTTAAAGGAGAAGGGAAACATATGGCCGCAGCAATTTGATGAAAAGCCAACAAAACATCCAGAACAAGCCCATATGCAAGAGTGTTCTGCGTGGG